AAAAAATACAAATAAAATAAAAAATTGTAACACAAGGAATACAATTCACAAGAATGGAGCTATATACATGGAGTACCAGTACCAGATCAATGTGCAGAAGTACAAGGTATTTGAGGCATATACACTACATGACCAAAAGTATGTGAACACCTGCTTGTCGAACATTTCATTCCAAAATCATGGGCATCAATATGGAGTTGGTCCCCCCTTTGTGGCTATAACAGCTTCCACTCTTCTGGGAAAGTTTTCCACTAGATGTTGGAACATTGCTGCGGGGACTTGCTTCCATTCAGCCACAAGAGCATTAGTGAGGTCCGGCACTGATGTTGGGCGATTAGGTCGGCTCGCAGTCGACATTCCAATTCATCCCAAAGGTGTTTGATGCGTTGGGGTTGGGGTTGGGGTCAGGGCTCTATGCTGGCCAGTCAAGTTCTTCCACACCAATCTCGACAAACAATTTCTATATGGACCTTGCTTTGTGCATAGGGGCATTGTCATGCTGAAACAGGAAAGGGCCTTCCCCAAACTGTTGCTACAAAGTTGGAAGCACAGAATCGTCTAGAATGTCATTGTATGCTGTAGCATTAAGATTTCCCTTCACTGGAACTAAAGGACCTAGCCCAAACCATGAAAAACAGCCCCAGACCATTACTCCTCCTCCACCAAACTTTACAGATGGCACTATATATTCGGGCAGGTAGCGTTCTCCTGGCATCCCCCAAACCCAGATCATCTGTCAGACTGCCAGATGGTGAAGGGTTTTCCACTGCTCCTGAGTCCAATGGTGGCAAGCTTTACACCACTTCAGCCGACGCTTGGCATTGCGCACAGTGATCTTAGGTTTGTGTGCGGCTGCTCGGCCATGGAAACCCATTTCATGAAGCTCCCGACGAACAGTTATTGTGCTGATGTTGCTTACAGAGGCAGTTTGAAACTCGGTAGTGATGATTTTTACGCGCTACGCGCTTCAGCACTCGGCGGTCCCGTTCTGTGAGCTTGTGTGGCCTACCACTTCGCGGCTGAGCCATTGTTGCTCCTAGACGTTTCCGCTTCACCATAACAGCACTTACAGTTGACTGGGGAAGCTCTAGCAGGGTTGAAATTTGACAAACTGACTTGTTGGACAGGTGGAATCCTATGATGGTTCCATATTGAAAGTCACTGAGCTCTTCAGTACGGCCATTCTACTGCCAATATTTGTCTATGGAGATTACATGGCTGTGTGCTTGATTTTATACACCTGTCAGCAACGGGTGTGGCTGAAATAGCCCAATCCACAAATTTGAATGGTTGTCCACATACTTTTCTATATATAGTGTATGTACAGTGAGGGAAAAAAGAATTTGATCCCCTGCTGATTTTGTACGTTTGCCCACTGACAAAGAAATGATCAGTCTATAATTTTAATGGTAGGTTTATTTGAACAGTGAGAGACAGAATAACAACAAAAAAATCCAGAAAAACGCATGTCACAAATGTTATACATTTATTTGCATTTTAATGAGGGAAATAAGTATTTTACCCCCTCTCAATCAGAAAGATTTCTGGCTCCCAGGTGTCTTTTATACAGGCAACGAGCTGAGATTAGGAGCACACTCTTAAAGGGAGTGCTCCTAATCTCAGCTTGTTACCTGTATAAAAGACACCTGTCCACAGAAGCAATCAATCAATCAGATTCCAAACTCTCCACCATGGCCAAGACCAAAGAGCTCTCCAAGGATATCAGGGACAAGATTGTAGACCTACACAAGGCTGGAATGGGCTACAAGACCATCGCCAAGCAGCTTGGTGAGAAGGTGACAACAGTTGGTGCGATTATTCGCAAATGGAAGAAACACAAAAGAACTGTCAATCTCCCTCGGCCTGGGGCTCCATGCAAGATCTCACCTCGTGGAGTTGCAATGATCATGAGAACGGTGTGGAATCAGCCCAGAACTACACGGGAGGATCTTGTCAATGATCTCAAGGCAGCTGGGACCATAGTCACCAAGAAAACAATTGGTAACACACTACGCCGTGAAGGACTGAAATCCTGCAGCGCCCGCAAGGTCCCCCTGCTCAAGAAAGCACATATACAGGCCCGGCTGAAGTTTGCCAATGAACATCTGAATGATTCAGAGGAGAACTGGGTGAAAGTGTTGTGGTGAGATGAGACCTAAAATGGAGCTCTTTGGCATCAACTCAACTCGCCGTGTTTGGAGGAAGAGGAATGCTGCCTATGACCCCAAAAACACCATCCCCACCATCAAACATGGAGGTGGAAACATTATGCTTTGGGGGTGTTTTTCTACTATGGGGACAGGACAACTTCACCGCATCAAAGGGACGATGGACGGGGCCATGTACCGTCAAATCTTGGGTGAGAACCTCCTTCTCTCAGCCAGGGCATTGAAAATGGGTCATGGATGGGTATTCCAGCATGACATTGATCCAAAACACACGGCCAAGGCAACAAAGGAGTGGCTCAAGAAGAAGCACATTAAGGTCCTTGAGTGGCCTAGCCAGTCTCCAGACCTCAATCCCATAGAAAATCTGTGGAGGGAGCTGAAGGTTCGAGTTGCCAAATGTCAGCCTCGAAACCTTAATGACTTGGAGAAGATCTGCAAAGAGGAGTGGGACAAAATCCCTCCTGAGATGTGTGCAAACCTGGTGGCCAACTACAAGAAACGTCTGACCTCTGTGATTGCCAACAAGGGTTTTGCCACCAAGTACTAAGTCATGTTTTGCAGAGGGGTCAAATACTTATTTCCCTCATTAAAATGCAAATCAATTGATAACATTTTTGACATGCGTTTTTCTTGATTCTTTTTTTGTTATTCTGTCTCTCACTGTTCAAATAAACCTACCATTAAAATTATAGACTGATCATGTCTTTGTCAGTGGGCAAACTTACAAAATCAGCAGGGGATCAAATACTTTTTTCCCTCACTGTACATGAAGGCAGGGTAAAGTGACTAGGCATCAGGATAGATAATAATAAGAGTAAAATAAAGAACAGAGTAGCAACAGCATATGGTGAGTGTAAAAGTGTGTTTGTATGCGTATGCGTGTTTGTGTTGTGTCGGTATGCGCGTGTGTGTATGTGTGTTTGTGTTGTGTCGGTATGCGCGTGTGTGTATGTGTGTTTGTGTTGTGTCGGTATGCACGTTTGTGTTGTCGGTGTGATGTAGTAGCAAGGCCTTGGTTAGTTAGTATGGCTTTGCTAAAGTATGACTTGGGTATGGGTTTGGTATCTTTTTCATACATAGATGATTTCCTATTAATGATACAGTACATTCAATATATCAACTTCCCTTTTTACAAACATGAAAATCACAATAAGTCATTTCCATTCATGTTGCAGTAGAGTGATGTCTTTGTACTTTCCCCTCTCTCTCACTGTATGATTCCATGTCTCACAGTTCCAGAACAGAGCCGTCAGCCTGCCTTGGTGAGCCACCCCTCCTCTGGCACCTGGGGTTAAGTGGTTAGGAGGCTGTCTGTTAGGAGTTTGGAGCTGTAGGGCTGTAGCAGGCAGGCTGCGTGTTTAACGCTGGTTTTTACCCAGCTCTCAGCTCTCAGCTCTCAGCTCGTTACCCATTTCCCGGTGACACGTATTGCAGGATGCCTGTGTTTTTAAAGCCCCTACATTTCACATGCTACACTGATTGTTCAACTATTGCAGTATGGGGCTGACGGTGATAAGTTATGTATAACAGTGCGGTTCGAGACGAGACCGTGTGAAATTATATTTGACAAGGTGGATTGCGGCTCACGTTCCATAGTCTGTGCGTGCAGGAAGCTACCTCCCTTTCTTCTTCTACTTCTTCTCCCTCCCTCTCTCCTTCTCTCCCTCCCTCTCTCCTTCCCTCCCTCCCTCTATCTTAAACCTTGAACACTCCTGTGTGTTCAAACGTAACACTCCTCTCTCAAACTCTCAGTGCCTTGTCGTTCTCTCTTGGGTAATGAGATGTGGCTAACGACCGACTCAAATATTCATTCCAAACCCGTTGTTTGGGTTTGCTTTTATCTCTGTCAATGAAATATGAGTTGTAGTCCAATTAGAATAGTTTAACTACGGTGGTTAACACAGCAACTTCCACGACAAGCACAGCGGCAGCTATGTGAGGTCATGAACTTACAGTAGCCAAGTTGTGATCAAGCTTCCTGAACCTCCAATATAGCCTACTGTAAATAATAATAAATAATATGCCATTTAGCAGACTGTGTCTACTGTGTCTGCAGGTTGTTGTTATTGTTTGACCTGGTGTAATACATCCTGGTTGGTTAGGAGGACTTAATGAGTCATTCAGATCACTGAAGCTGTCCAAATAGGCTGGCACTATATGAAAATGTTGAGTCATGAATGGTCAGGAGATAACACTTCTGTCTGCTCTGTACATGTCCACCCTCACATGGTTTTGAGGGGTTAAACTTGTGAACAGACACACAAACCAACAATCATGCGAGAAAACAAAAGCCCAAAGTGCATATTAACCAACAACCTGCTATCTGAGTGTCGTAATAGATGGACACCTATTGAATGTTCTTGGACGCCAAATCGGCCCCTAGCCCCTACCCCTTAGCCCTATCATTTAAGTAGTCCTGTAGATTACATTTTAGTCATTTAGCAGACGCTCTTATCCAGAGCAACTTACAGTTAGTGAGTGCATACATTTTCATACTGGGCCCCCGTGGGAAACGAACCCACAACCCTGGCGTTGCAAGCGCCATGCTCTACCAACTGAGCTACAGGGGACTAGATCTGAGAGGTTTGGACAGGTTTAAGCATTATGGTAATATCTTCACCTTGCCTTCTGATAGGCTTGGTAGAAATGTCCATCTGATCTTGTCAGATCTGCAGGAGTGACAAGCGGTGGAGGCTATCTAGGGGCTAGAGGTCGATTTGGGATTCAGCAAGTGTTTCTCAATACCCACTGTGACATGGGGCATGGCTCTAACTAACTACACAAACACAGGACCCACCAGAGTGCTCCTCAGTGAGGTGACAGACTGGACTCATGAAGAAGCGACACGGAGCTCAACACTTCTGGAAGAGCATGACGGGCCAGCAGCCTCAGTCCGAGCCTGACAGAACCGGTGGCGGAGACACGATGGTAACTGACACTAACATTACCGCCACCTTTGACAATCTCTCTCAGAATGTGGTACCTATCCCTATCAGATCCATCCCTCCTCTGGGCCAGTCAGACAGTCACATGTCAGTCTCTTATGAGGATAAGACCGGGGCTACCGTAATGTTCTCTGGGATATTCCTGGGTCTGGTGGGCATGACTTCACAGCCATGGGCTGGCTCAAGTATGGTGTCAGCCGCAGCTTCAAGTGGACCCAGCTGCTTGGCCCCATTCTGCTCTCTGTAGGAGGCACCTTCATCCTAATCAGCATCTGTAAGTTCAGGATGCTCTCCTGCCGGGCATGTAAGCAGAGCGACTATGACGAAGAGCTGTCAGAGTCGCTGGAGATCCCAGGGTCTGGCCAATTGTTTGTGTTCAACGGGATCAATCAGCCGATCATGTTCCACGGAGCTACGGTGGTGCAGTATATCCTGGCTCCGTGTGGATCAGTGACACAGGAAGGGAATCCAGCCAATGGGTTTCAGCCCAATAGCGGCTCAGCCAATGGGGTTCCCAGAAACGTGCCACCTCAATACTACACTGTGTGCCTGTTGGGTAATGTTTACAGGAGACAACAACAGCCCTCCAAACAGCAGGTCAGACTGCAGACAAGACCACAGACATAGCAGGTAGGCAGATATGAATGAAAGTACAGACCAGGGTAGGACAACTTCAGCATTTTAGCTAATTAGCAACTTTGCAACTACTTAGCATGTTAGCTAACCTTTCCCCTAACCTTAACCTTAACCCTTTAACCTAACTCCTAACCCTAATCTAACACTAACCTTTAGCCTAACCATAACACCTAACCCCTAGCCTAGCTAGCGTTAGCCACTTAGCTGACGTTAGCCACAAAAATTGGTATTCGTAATATAGCATACGTATTGCAAATTCATAACATATTGTATAAATTGCAATTCATAAAATATTATACAAATTGTAATTCGTAACATATCATACGAAATGGATGATAGATATCCACAAATTAATACATGCCAAACCAAACGTAACATATCATACTAATTTGAATGTCTCAAGTTTCCGTTTACTGGGTTCAAATAGTATTTGTTTTCTTTTCCAACCTGGGTAGACGTAACGAAGTAAACGGAAACTTGAGACATTCAAATTAGTATGATATGTTACGTTTGGTTTGGCATGTATTAATTTGTGGATATCTATCATCCATTTCGTATGATATGTTACGAATTACAATTTGTATAATATTTTATGAATTGCAATTTATACAATATGTTATGAATTTGCAATACGTATGCTATATTACGAATACCAATTTTTGTGGCTAACGTCAGCTAAGTGGCTAACGCTAGCTAGGCTAGGGGTTAGGTGTTATGGTTAGGCTAAAGGTTAGTGTTAGATTAGGGTTAGGAGTTAGGTTAAAGGGTTAAGGTTAAGGTTAGGGGAAAGGTTAGCTAACATGCTAAGTAGTTGCAAAGTTGCTAATTAGCTAAAATGCTGAAGTTGTCCGTGATGAGATTCGAAAACGCAACCTTTGGATTGCTAGACATTCGCATTATGTCTTATGCAACCACACCAAACGTAACATATCATACTAATTTGAGTGTTCTGTATTTTAATTTACTATGTTACATCTAGTCTATGAGACCAGCCTGTCTTTTCAATACTTTGAGCACTTGATTGGGCCTGTCTAGAGTGCCAGTTGGGCAGGGTTTGTTGGCACGAATGGGACTATTCCATTGGTTCCATCGCACCAGGCAATCAAGCACAGGGTTTGGAATATTTGTCTGTGTGACTCTTTAACCTACAAGACTGCACAAGGCACTCAGGTGGATGATAATGCATAGCTAATAAGTTAATGTTTGTTGGGGGTCATAGAGAACAGAACAATTTGGAATAGTTCACAGCCTGTTGACAGTGGAATATACTGTGGAATGCTGGTTTGGTTGTGGAGCTTGAACCAATTGACTCTCACCTGTTCTCTCCTTAGTATACTGTCCCTTGAGGATTGGGTCCTATTGTAATGAACTACAGCCAATAGAGGAAGATCCCATGGATCCCATGGATCCCATGGATCCCATGGATCCCATTATGTGCAGTTTTGTCACACAACACAATGCCACAGATGTCTGAAGTTTTGAGGGAGCGTGCAATTGGCATGCTGACTGCAGGAATGTCCAACAGAACTGTTGCCAGAGAATTGAATGTTCATTTCTCTACTATAAGCCACTTCCAACGTCATTTTATAGGCCTGCATACTCACCAGACATGTCACCCATTGAGCATGTTTGGGATGCTCTGGATCAATGTGTACGACAGCGTGTTCCAGTTCCCGCCAATATCCAACAACTTCGCACAGTCAACAGCCTGATCAACTCTATGCAAATGAGATGTCTCGCACTGCATGAGGCAAATCGTGGTCACACCAGATACTGACTGGTTTTCTGATCCATGCCCCTACCTTTTTTGTTAAGGTATCTATGACCAACAGATGCATATCTGTATTCCCATTCATTTGAAATCCATAGATTAGGACCTAATGAATTCATTTCAATTGGCAGATTTCCTTATATGTACTGTAACTCAGTAAAATCTTTGAAATTGTTGCATGTTGCATTTATATTTTTGTTCAGTGTATATGGTCTAACACTTACCCTGCATTATACTAATGAACTCAAGTTTACTTTATTAGTACAAAAGCGGAAAATTAATTTGGGTTTACTTCACATTAGAAAAAAAACGGCATACTATTTCCTATAACTCCTTCCTGTTTCCCCTATAACCTACATTACCAGTCAAAGGTTTTAGAACACCTACTCAATCAAGGGGTTTTTATTATTTTTTACTATTTTCTACATTGTAGAATAATAGTGAAGACATCAAACTATGAAATCACACATATGGAATCATGTAGTAACCAAAAAAGTGTTAAACAAATCAAAATAGCCACCCTTTGCCTTGATGACAACTTTGCACATTCTTGGCATTCTCTCAACCAGCTTCACCTGGAATGCTTTTCCAACAGTATTGAAGGAGTTCCCACATGTGCTGTGCACTTTTTGGCTGCTTTTCCTTCACTCTGCGGTCCGACTCATCCCAAACCATCTCAATTTGGTTGAGGTCGGGGGATTGTAGAGGCCAGGTCATCTGATGCAGCACTCCATCACTCTCCTTCTTGGTCAAATAGCCCTTACACAGCCTGGAGGTGTGTTGGGTCATTGTCCTGTTGAAAAACAAATGATAGCCCAAACCAGATGGGATGGCGTATCGCTGCAGAATGCTGTGGTAGCCATGCTGGTTAAGTGTGCCTTGAATTCTAAATAAATCACAGACAGTGTCACCAGCAAAGCACCTCCACACCATAACACCTCCTCCTCCATGCTTCACGGTGAGAAATACACATGTGGAGATCATCCGTTCACCCACACCGCGTCTCACAAAGACACAGAGGTTGGAACCAAAAATCTCCAATTTGGACTCCAGACCAAATGACACATTTCCACCGGTCTAATGTCCGTTGCTCATGTTTCTTGGCCCAAGCAAGTCTCTTCTTATTATTGGTGTCCTTTAGTAGTGGTTTCTTTGCAGCAATTCGACCATGAAGGCCTGATTCACACACTCCTCTGAACAGTTGATGTTGAGATGTGTCTACTTGAACTCTGTGAAGCATTTATTTGGGCTGCAATTTCTGAGGCTGGTAACTCTAATGAACTTATCCTCTGCAGCAGAGGTAACTCTGGGTCTTCCATTCCTGTGGCGGTCATCATGAGAACCAGTTTCATCATAGCGTTTGATGGTTTTTGCGACTGCATTTGAAGAAACTTTCAAAGTTCTTGAAATGTTCCGTATCGACTGACCTTCATGTCTTAAAGTAATGATGGATTGTCATTTGTCTTTGCTTATTTGAGCTGTTCTTGCCATAATATGGACTTGGTCTTTTACCAAATAGGGCTATCTTCTGTATACCTTGTCACAACACAACTGATTGGCTCGAACGCATTAAGAAGGAAAGAAATTCCACAAATTATCTTTTAAGAAGGGACACCTGTTAATTGAAATGCATTCCAGGTGACTACCTCACGAAGCTGGTTGAGAGAATGCCAAGAGTGTGCAAAGCTGTCATCAATGCAAAGGGTGGCTATTTGAAGAATCTCAAAGACAAAATATATTTCGATTTGTTTAACACTTTTTTCGTTACTACATGATTCCATATGTGTTATTTCATAGTTTTGATGTCTTCACTATTATTCTACAATGTAGAAAATAGTTTAAAAAAATAAGAAAAACCCATGAATGAGTAGGTGTTCTAAAACTTTTGACTGGTAGTGTATGTCCTTTAACATTTTAACAGGCTAGCAGTGAGGATGGAGCACCCAAATGATGGAAAATGATCTGAGGAGGATAACAGTTCTACCGAGCCTCGATCACCTTCCCCAGCCAACAGAACCATTTACCCCTTTCTAACTGACATTTTACAGTAACTGACATTCTAACTGACAGCTCAACCTGATGCTTACTACCACTACTGTAAAACAACAACAGAAACAGTTTCCCCCATAATACCTGCTGCTGCTTTGGAGTTTCATGAGAGGCTTTTACTATGAAAATCCGGACATATAGTTGAGTAAATTCGGATTGGTAGGCGTACAAGCCACGTGCACATATATTTGAGTTGACGCGCATCCACCTGAGTTGGCGCGGTCTTGCTTGACTATGGCCATATGAATAAAAGTATATTTATACAAAGTGTAGGGTGTGTATCTTTTCTGTCTTTGATGGTATATGAAATCAGGGGCGCAACTTTGGTTTTAGAAGTGCGGGGGACATTTTTCTTTTTTTTATCCAGTCGGAGAAACACTCCAAACAGCCTACCCGACCACTCGGCGGTGTCCACATGGTCCTAAAGCACGCCTTTGCCTCGTTTTGTATCACATTCCAATGTAAAACTGGAGGGGACAAAAATGCAATTTCAGAATGTGGGGGGGACATGTCCCTCCTGTCCCCAGTGAACGTTGCGCCCCTGCATGAAATTGACTCAGCCAACAGTGGGACACAATCTAGTTGGAACTGATAGTCTACATTTTTTATAATTATTTAATAAAACTCCATTAAAAAACGCAGGTTAGCATTTATTGTCATGAATCTTGCTCTGGAGGCAGCTCTGCAGAGTGGTCACTAGCTGGCACAGCCACAAAGTCAAACAATTTCAAACCTAACCCTAACCTTAACCCTAACCTTAACCACACTGCTAACCCTAATGCCTAACCCTGACCTTAAATTATTTTTTTATGAATGTTTATTTTATGAATGTTTACGATATATGCAATTTTGATTTGCAGCTGGCCCATCTAGCGGAAATCGCTCAGTTCTGCCTCCAGCGCAACATTCATGACAATAAACGTCAACCTGCATCAAAAAGAAGTCTCCGGGATTCAATAAAATTCCCTAATACACACATTTTCCAAGCGCTTTCTATTTCGCCCAGGTCCCAGCTCTCCCTCTTTAGACTAGTATAGGTAACTGATCCCATCCAGTAGCTTTTGGAAAATGGTCTGGTGCCCAGTGGCTGTTTATTTTACATGAGGGCCTGAGTGGAACAAAAAACTCCACGTTGTTGGCTATGTTCTAGGACCTGTTATAGTCTAGGACC